CTCACCAGCTTTGTTGCCCTTCTCTGGACCCGCTCCAGCACCTCAATGTCCTTCTTGTGGTGAGGGGCCCAGAACTGAACCCAGCCCTCGAGGGGAGGCCTCACCAGTGCCGAGTACAGGGGGACCATCACCTCTCGGGCCCTACTCCCCACGCTGTTCTTGATACAGGCCAGGATGCTGGTGGCCTTCTTGGCCACCTGGGCACACTGCTGGCTCCTGTTCAGCCGGCTGTCCACCAACACCCCCAGGCCCTTTTCTGCCAGGCAGCTCCAGCCCCTCTGCCCCCAGCCTGGAGCGCTGCAGGGGGTTGGTGGGACCCAAGGGCAGGACCTGGCACTTGGCCTTGTGGAACCTCATCCCGTTGGTCTCGGCCCATCCATCCAGCCTGTCCAGATCTCTCTGCAGAGCCTCTCTACCCTCCAGCAGATCAACACTGCCACCCAGCTTGGTGTCGTCTGCGAATTTACTGAGGGTGCACTCGTCCAGATCATTGATAACCTCTGAAGAGAAGGAGTCATACAGCCACAGAAATGTGGGGAACCTCTCTTTCTAGGTATGCCTCCTTCCTGTCCCATACAAACTATTCCAGTGACTCCAACAGATGTCTGGAGGGATGGTCATAAAGAAGAGTTTGCAGCCTTTGTTGCAACGCCTTCCTTATCAGACTACCAGAAGATCGTATGTTCCTAGTAGATACTGCCCCAAAGGAGCACTGACATATCAGCTTCAGCCAGGTTGTGCTTCAAATGGTTAAGTAACACGTTCCCTACAGGCTAACAAAGAGATATTTCTACCCGAGGCAAATGACAACAGGCTCCATGGCTATCAATCAGGGTCAATCTTCTATCAGTTGATGTTCTTTTTTTACAGTGAATAAACAGGGTACGTTGTTTAACTGCTTTGAGTTGCAACATGACCAAAAGCTGCTTACATCTAGAAGTACACCCTGGCATTGTCATTAGGATCATAATTGCTAAAATCATTCCTCTGACTGCAGTTGTAGGGCTGCCTGGTATTTCTATGCAAGTTTGCCGTGCTACAAAGGCAGCAAAGCAGACTGATTTACTTAGAAAAGCCCCCTAAGTCAGTGACACCAAGAAAGCAAACCTGGGCCCATTTCCCAGCATCTCTTAACATCCAGGATGATCCTGGATGATCTTTTGCAGGGCAAGAAAGTTTTTCAAAGAGGACTGACCAAAACATTCTGCACTTCGGTAATTTGGCTGTGTGTGCTCACAGATGAAAACTACTACAAATACCTCTTTTTTGATAAAACTTTTACCAGCTCCAGCAAAAAAAAATAAAAAAGATAAAAGAATTATCTGCTTAATATTTGAAGCTCACGTTCAGCAAACCCCTCACTTGACTGCTACTGTAGGGTGAAATAATCTCTGGTGGTTTTATTTCGATTTTTATTCAGACTGAGATTCATGCTCCACTTGTGAAAAAGCCTCCTGAAGGCCAGAATAACCTTAAAGATCACCTGTTGCAATGTCAGGTGCAATATTTATTTATGGAAACCATACTGTCTGCACACCCGAAAGTGCAAATATCCATTCCCCTGCATTCATACCCTGACTGATCTATGGTATGTCTGCTGCTCTTTATGTCTGCACAGATCCCACCTACGCCACTAAACAGATGGGTGTTTATATCTGACCGCAGTAAGATTGTGCTATTTATGGTTTATCTTTGGACATCAACAGTTGAATGATGAAAACATTGAAGAAGTATCTTTAAGTACTGCATCACTCATTAGGATGACTGTAACACATTCAGCTCTGACCACACGGGCATTATTGTTGCTACACAAGATAAATGCAACAATTACAAAACCTTATTCATCATATCCTGCAGCTTACAACAGGCTTGAGCCTTTTTATCACAAAAGTGGGAAGTCCACTACGTGTTCTGACTACATTTGTTTGCTTCAGCAATGTACCCACCAGGTGTGTAGGCATTGCATGACTCTCAATAAATACCTCATAACACTGTCAATAGAAAGCTTGCATGTATCATCGATGCTGAATGCAATAGATTAATTTGTCAATGCCCAACATTTATTGCATTGATTAGATGCATAAAATTTCCTCACAGTTCTGGCTCAGGAGCGACTGCAATCACAGCACAGGGTCCTCTGGGACAATTCCTGAAAGATGTCAGCATTCAGGTCTGCTTTCAGCATTTTCTCCACAAACAGGCATGGAAGCTGGTGATACCCATCCGTTCTTGTTGTCTCCACCACGGCAATGTGGTCCGTAATGGAGTCATTTGTTGCAATCTATTGCACTTATTCCCCATTTCTTTAATACCCCGTGGCCTACAATGCAAGAAATGCATACTGGCTCTTTCCCATTAATCTTGTCAATCATTCTCTATCACCCGGAGACTTGTCACCCCCACATTCAGAGATCTACATCATTTATGAGTGTGTTGAGAAATAAAAGTCTTAGCTAGTCCCTTTCTCCACTGTGACAACAGGTAAGAATTACAATTTTCCTCTTCTAAATATTGTCACCGTTCACATATAACATTTAAATAACACTGCCTGAATTTTATTTAAGTGTAAATATGTCAGAACTAAATCTTGCCAACAAGTTTTAAGGGAAAATAAATTGCAATAAAAAGGTTAATTCTATATGCAACCTAAAAATACACGCATGAGACCCCAAAATCGTGGAAACACCTCTTGAAGGACCACAGGAGCATACATCCTATTTGAAGAGTCAGGAAAAGAATGTCTAAGGCTAAGATCATGCTCACCTATAGTGCTGGTGAGGGATGATATAAAACATTTGCTCTCCTGAAGTGAAGGGGAAAAACTCCTGCAGCCTTTAGACTGGTTCTCTGATCACGTTTCAAAGAACACTGTCGCTTTTAACTCTTCCTTCCTGAATTATTTTTTCTAGAGCTTTCTTCTGGCTGATATGGTCAGGAACACCTGGTAGGATATGAAAAAATAAGTTATAACAAATATAAAAAAGAAGTGAAAAAAGGCAAAACACACATTAGGAAGAAGTGTTACAATTTACCTCTGTCTGATCCCTGTTCAGCATTATCATTTTATTAGGTTATTAACTCAGAAGGTCTCCTAAAGAGCGCAGTGCACCTCCAGACATAATTAAAGCCACATTTACCTGTTCCAAAAGGTACAACCTCGTTACAGACAGGAGCTCAGCCAGTGCCATGCCTTTTGGGATTGCAGGCTGGCGTCACACCATCCTCCCACTCCTGAAGAGGTGAAGACAGCTCGCTCCACCCACGCTCCCCGCTGGATGAGGCTGGCCAGGCAGCTCCCTTTAAACACTGGTTTGATGCTTGACTAAAGCTCGTCGTACAGATCAATGAGGCACTTTCTGTAAGAGTAGATCCTGGCTTTCAGCCTGGAGGATTAAATTTCAGGTCCCGGAGCCTGCAGGCAGGTGATGGGAGACATCACTGAGGGCAGGACACCTCACCTGCAGGCAGGTGATGATACCTAAGGCAGATTTTATGTAGTTTATAAACGGTTAAACTGTAGAGAATCTTCTTTCAGAGAAGAAATACCACGATTTTAGCAACCATCCCAAATGGTACCAAGGACTTAGTGAGATAAGAAAGGATGTCTGTGGCCCTGGGAACGCGGTGTCCTAAGACAGGGATGCAATAAATATGGACATTGTCTGACAAACAGGTGGTAGCAGGGAGATCATTAGTTTTAATGAGCAATTAAGCAGTTGGAATGTTTTGCTATCGTGTAAAGGTAGCCAAAGCCCAGGTCAGGAAGATGAAGATTGAGGAAGAAACGACCCTCACTCAACATGGGGACCACCAGAAGGCACAACTACGCATGCCCAAAAGCTTATTATCATATGTAAAGGAATTCTTGGAAATGTAACGAATATGCTAATGTTTTTCTTGGAATTACATTGAATATGGATCCCTGTTGGGTATAAATTTAATTTGACAACAGCATTCAGTGCACACAACAGGAGGAGCCATCCCCTGCGTGCCCAGCACCGCAATAAAGAATGCCTGCTTTATAACACTTATAAATTCAGTCTTAGAAAGTTTCATCTGCTGGTTTGTGGTGACAGTGATGGGCAGGCATCACTGAAGGCAGGACACCTCACAGAATCAAAGAATATTCATGGTTGGAAGGGACCTTTGAGGTCATCGAGTCCAACCACAAAAAAAACCCCCAAAACAAACAAAAAAAGATCCCACAAACAGACACAACCCAACAATCTCGGGCACTAGAGCATGCCCTCAAGTGTCACATCTACACGTTTCTTGAATACCTCCAGAGATGGTGACTCCACCACCTCCCTGGGCAGGCCCTTCCAGTGCCTGACCACCCTCTCAGCAAAGTCATTCTTCCCAAGATCTCATCTAAACCTCCCCTGCCCCAACTTCAGACCATTTCCTCTGCTCCTCTCATGATTCCCTTGGGAGAAGAGGTCAACCCCCACCTCTCTACACCCTCCTTTCAGGGAGCTGGAGAGGGCAAGGAGGTCTCCCCTCAGCCTCCTCTTCTCCAAACTCAATATGCCCACTTCCCTTAAAGATCATCTTGTCCAACCGTCAAACCAACTGACAAAAATAGTCACCCACACAACAAACAAGGAGCATCATCACTAAACCAGACCTCCCAGCACTACATCAACCCATCTTTTGAACACCTCCAGGGATGGGGCCTCAACCACCTCCCTGGGCAGCCCACTCCAATGCCTGATAACCCTTTCAGTGAAAAAATTTTTCCTAATATCCAGCCTGAACGTACCCTGGCGTAACTTGAGGCCAATATTTAGTGAATCTATTTCGGACTTAGTTTTTTTATTTTAACTATAACAGGGCAGGAGGAGGGAAGAGGCTGGGAGAGCGAGGGAGAGACTGAGGCGGGAGGGCAGGCTGAGGGGGCCGGAGGGCAGGCTGAGGGGGCCGCAGCCCGGGCTGAGGGGGCCCCGCAGGCCGCCTCCTCTCCCCGCCGCTGCCCCCTCACGGGTGAGATGCCTCGCCCTGCCTCCGGTGGCCGCTAGGGGCTTCCGCCGCCGCAGCGGGGCCCGCCATTTGTCGGGGGGCATGGAGGGCGAGAGCACGTCGGCCTTGCTCTCCGGCTTCGTCTTCGGCGCCCTCGCCTTCCAGCACCTCAGCACCGACTCGGACACGGTGGGTGCTCGCCGGCGGGATGGAACGGGGCAGGGCTCGGGGAGGGAACATGGCGGGCGGGGGGGTGGCCGCTGGTGGTTGGGTTATGGCGGTGCCCGCCGCCGGGCCTTCCCCCCCCCCGGCCCAGGGAGAGGGGACCCCGCTGCCGGGGAGGGCTCCAGGGCCACCCGGGGAGGGCTCCGGGGCCACCCGGGGCCTCGGGTTTCACAGCGCCTTCCCTCCCTGCTGCAACGAAGGTTGTTTTTACGCGCTAACGCCGGGAAACGGTGGGGTTTGGGGTTATTTTCTCTGAAAAAGAGGAGGTGTGGGCCGCCCACCGGGCGGGGTCTGACAGGGAGGGACCGAAATGGGGGTCGTTTCTTGTGGCCTGAGCCTTCTTGCGGGGGGGGGTGGGGGGAGCACCCCCTGCCCTGCCACAGACTTTGTGCGTGAAAACCTGAGGGGTGGAAACCAGCTGAGTACACATCCCAGCCTTTTTTTTTTTTTTTTAAATAGAGGCAAGATTGAAAAATGAGTAAGAATCTACTGTTTATAAAAAAATAATTTCATTTTGACAGCTTTTTTTTTTCTTCTGAAGACAGCCTTTAAATAATAAACGAAGCCCTGTTCAATGCGACAGTTAAATATGAACTTTTTCTTTTTTTTTTTTTTTTTTTCCCTCTCTTCCCTCTAAAGGAAGGTTTTCTCCTGGGAGATGTGAAAGGTGAAGCCAAGAACAGCATTACCGACTCACAAATGGACGATGTGGAAGTCGTTTATACCATTGGTTAGTCATTTTTAGGAGCCTGTGTGGCTTCAGGCTATAACACATCTGGGTGCTCACAGCCAGGTCCAAGCTGCTACATCCTGGGGTCCACATTGACATGAAAAAAAAAAAAAAAAAGCCCCACACATGAAAGGGTTATTTTATAACATTAACTGCTAAACAATTTTACAACTTTACTAATTTAATGGAAATACTAGTTCTTAGTTCCTCGGTTGTGTCCAGTTTTGGGCCCCCTACCATAAAAAAGACATTGAGGTGCTGGAGCGGGTCCAGAGAAGGGCGACAAAGATGGTGAGGGGTCTGGAGAACAAGTCTCCTGAGGAGAGGCTGAGGGAGCTGGGGTTATTCAGCCTGGAGAAGAGGAGGCTGAGGGGAGACCTTATTGCTCTCTCCGACTCCCTGAAAGGAGGGTGTAGCCAGGGGGGGGTCGGTCTCTTCTCTCAAGTCACAGGCGACAGGACAAGAGGAAATGGCCTCAAGTTGTGCCAGGGGAGGTTCATATTGGAAAAATTTTTTCACAGAAAGGGTTCTCAGGCATTGGAATGGGCTGCCCAGGGAGGTGGTTGAGGCCCCATCCCTGGAGGAGTTCAAAAGACGGGTTGATGTACTGCTGCGAGGTCTAGTTTAGTGATGATGCTCCTTGTTTGTTGTGTGGGTGTCTATTTCTGTCAAAGTTAGGTTGACGGTTGGACAAGATGATTTTTAAGGTCCCTTCCAACCTAGAAGATTCTGTGAATAGCTCCTCTTTGCCAAATACCTTGTCACATTATAGGTAATTAGACAGGCTGAGGGAGCTGGGGTTGTTCAGCCTGGAGAACAGAAGGCTCCGGGGAGACCTTATAGCAGCCTTCCAGTACCTGAAGGGTGCCTATAGAAGAGCTGGAGAAGGACTCTTTGCCAGGAAGGGTAGTGATAGGACAAGGGGAAACAGTTTTCCATTGGAAGAAAAAAGATTCAGATTAGATCTCAGGAAGAAATTCTTTCCTGTGAGGGTGGTGAGAGCCTGGCCCAGGTTGCCCAGAGAAGCTGTGGCTGCCCCATCCCTGGAGGGGTTCAAGGCCAGGCTGGATGGGGCTTGGAGCAACCTGGTCTGGTGGGAGGTGTCCCTGCCCAGGGCAGGGGGGTTGGGACTCAATGATCTTTGAGGTCCCTTCCAACCCAAACCATTCTATGATTTAGGGCTGCTTCTTTGTCTTGGCCACATCACAAGCTCTCCTGGGACTACAGTTGCCCTGGAAAAACGTGGCTTATTTCAGTGATGTGAACCATAACACATTAGCACCTATTACCTAATTTGGAACTTATAAATGCTGTGTGTGAAGGCTGCAAATTATTCATGTATTTCACTGAGCAGATGCCAAGTGTATTTTTCTTTGTCGTCTTCATGGGACTGGAGTAAATGTATGTTTTATCCTAGCCCTTAACAAAACCATCTGTATACGTGCACACACATTTAACTCCATTCCTTTAAAATGCAGTTACACAAAAAGAAACAGAACAAGGTAATACAGTACGTACCTTCTTTCCAACCTTCCTGAAAATACAGCAGGGAGAAGTTCCATCCCATTTGCTAGTTTTACTCTAGGATGCAATTAAGGTAGAACAGTTTCCTCCACTGAATCTCGAAGATGAAGCAAAAACCTGGGGAATTTTTTGTGGTGGCACTGATCGAGTCACCCAGAATCTCACCACACGCAGAGTTAGTTGCTACAAAGTTTGGAGCTTCCCTTAGTTGTGAAAATGGAAGGAGTGGAGAATTTAGGATAAGAAAAGGATTTAGAATCCCATTAGTTCACCTAATGGCTTTTTTTGAGGTAGTCAGCCTTCCAGTTACCATCTACCCTATGAGTTTCTGTTCTTCAGCCTAATTTTACTAACAGCATCCGTGCCTTGCTGCAGAATAACTCAGGTGAAATCCTTTGTGTTACGTACTACTCCTGAACTCAACAGAAAGAAGGAAAAAACTACAGTGCTTGATTTGATTTTTCAGTTGACAAAACAGAAAAATGTATTTAAAAAAACACATGGTTCCCGTTACATTTGAAAAATTAATTAGAATCTTTTAAAGAAATATTCCCTTTCTTATCCTTATTTAATTAGATGCTTATACATTTGATTTTCAGAAATTATATTCTTTCAGTTTAATTCTGATCATAGGATACAGAAGAATATACATCTTGAAGTGATAAACCCAGAGTAATATTACCTTTCTCTTTCCAGATATACAGAAGCATATTCCGTGCTACCAGTTGTTCAGGTGAGAATCTTAGGCAACAGATTAGAAAAAAGTTAAAAAGAACCTTACCTTGAATTCTTTAAAAGTTCTATTATGTTAGTGAGAAATTCACCCAGCTAAACTACAGGAGCCATATCAACTCCTTGGAATTACAGATGCAAAATGCCTTATGTTATTCTTATTTTGGTTCTTCGTGTTCTTTTAATGGTGTTTGTGCAGATAGGAATAGAGATATGGCATACTGCTCCTTCAGGTGAGCTATGATACCATATCAACTACAGAATAATGTCAACAATTATAATAATAATTATTATAATGCTTTTCTAAAAGCATACACCCCAAACCCTTACCCTCAACAAAACCCAAAAAAAAAAAAAGATAGCATCAGCAACAGACTTCTAAGGGGGCCAGAAAAAGAAACACTTGTTAGCCCCATGGCAGGAGCAGTTTCAAGGAGTAGTATTTACAGTTCCATCATAGATGGAAACATGGCTGTGTGGGTTTCCACCCCTAAAAGGGGAGAATCACAACATTATCTCTTTCTGAAAATTAATAAACCCTGATGTTATCAGAAGGGCATTTCATACCAAACTGAAGGCATCTCACTGTTTTGTAGTTGAGAGGACAGAGATGCTACTTTTGTGTCCCAGTAGCACTGATGCCAGAAAGAGCATCTGGGCTGTGAGACCACGTATACACAATACAGAGCTGTTTGAGTCATTAAATTAACTGCACTGGCCTAGCAACAAGCTGTGTCAGCATATCTTCATGCTTACCAGGGAAAGAAAAGCTATTAAAGCGAGATGACTGCCAGGGAATAATGATTTCTACAGTAGTATTTTCTTTTTCCCCCTCTAATTATCCTAATTTTCTTCTAGCTTTTATAATTCTGCAGGAGAACTGAATGAACTTGCCCTGAAGAAAATACTATCGGGCTGTAAGAAGGTATTTTATTTTCAAACCTAAACCATACCAAGGAGGTTGCTCAGATTTTGGGGGGCTGTTCTGGATACCTCTTTTATCAAGGTGTTTTATGGGTTGTTTTTTTTTTCCCTTCTCCTCTTTTTTAAAAATATTCTATCTAGTCCCTCACGCTGCTGGTCAAGGCAGCTACATCACCTTTTTCCCCTGAAAGAACAGTTTAGATTATTTTTTTACTGGGGTTTGCATACATATATGTCAACTTTATTTTTTTCTTACAAATTTTTCAAACAAACAGTTCAAGTATCCTAAAGGAATTCTACTGATTTCTAGCTTAAGCTCAGTTGAGGTCAGCTCGCTCAAGTCGTTAAGTGCCACTTGACCAAAAAAAAAATTGTAATCTTCTCCACAGAAGAAAGTTTCACAAGGAGAAAACAGAAGCCAGAAGGCAACAAACAGCAAAACAGCAGAACCTAGTCTGCAGAGTTTTCAGCTCAGAAAACAGGCCAGTTCAACATGTGGCTTTGAAGGCAAAAGAAAGTTGACATACTGGCATTAGGCTTAGGTGTCTTGAGGGTTTCAAATTAGCTGCTTGAATACGTACACATCATTGAACAATTCAGATTCATGACTTTGTACTGACTCTTTTAACTTGCTTCAATATGACACACACAGGGGACAGCACGATTTAACTCTAGTCATGTCTTTTCTTCTGCCTGCAGAGTGTAATAGGATGGTACAAATTCAGACGTAACACAGACCAGGCCATGACATTCCGGGAAAGGGTTCTTCATAAGAATTTACAGTCACATCTATCAAATCAGGGCCTCGTCTTCCTTTTATTAACCTCCAGCGTGATGACAGAAAGTTGTTCTACTTACAGGCTGGAACACGCCTTACATCGGCCCCAGGAAGGGTAACTGCTTTGTTCTGTAGTTTTAATAAAGCAGTAGCACAGCTTGGAACAGTTTGGGGTTTGTTTCATTGGAAATTATTCTTCCATATATTATTTATGGAACAAATCTAGCAAAATATATATATTGCCACTGTAGTGTCAGTGGTCAGACGCTGTCGGTTCATTTACACCCATAGGCTGTTCTTCATCAATTTGGTTTTGTGTATAGGACTTCAGTGCTGCATGGCATTTAAACTGGGGGTAATTTTCAGTTATATGTGGTGTGATCCATTCAGCAAGACATAACTCTAATTGTAAACCTCCATCTGGGATGCTTAATGGTCAAGAAGCTTTAACTATCGAAGAGGTCTTTTGGATGTTAATACGTCATGTTCTCATATTTCTGCTTTTTAAGTCTTTTCCAGAAAGTCCCTTTGGTGGTTACCAACCTGGGTATGGCAGAACAGCAAGGTTATAGGACAGTGTCTGGGTCCTGTGTATCTTCTGGTTTTGTGCGAGCAGTAAGACAACACAGGTACAATATATGCCATATTTACTGATAGCTGTAGCTTTCAGTTAAGATAAGTATAGTTATCTTTCTATAAAAGTATTTAAGTGCTTTTAGAAATGCTACAGCCATACTCTGCTCACTTGTTGACTTGTTCCCTGCAACTATTTGTTTCCAAGGTACCTGGAAATTAGTTAAGTCTCATACTTTGCCATGAGAGCAGCAGTTTGTTGCAATGGAGGCACCTAGTGCTGAAGCTCAAAATGCTTCTTTATTCATTGTAACTCCTACTAGGCAAGCACTAGGATCACGAACTTGCAATTACACAATTATATTCTTGGTCTACAGGTCAGAATTCTTTTCTGAAGACGGATCCTTACAAGAGGTTCATAAGATAAATAAGATGTATGCCACCTTGCAGGAGGAGCTGAAGGTGAGTCAGGCATTCCTGCCTACACGGTCACCTTCAGCAGTAGGTAGCAAAGCCTAGTCTGGCAAAGGGTACACCATCTTGCACCAAATGAGAAACACAGAGTTCCATTTGCTATTAGCTGTACACCAGGTTCTCAAAGTTGAAGACTTAAGTTTCCATTTGATCAAAAGTACACTGATAAATTCCCAGGTCCAATGATAAATTCTCACAAGAGGATTATTTTGAAGGAGCACCGTTGGGGGGTTGGAGCAGATGATCTCCAGAGGTCCCTATGCTACCTGTAGTTTGTCAGAGCTCCTTTGCTTAGATGGGAACAAGTAAAGTATCTTGTACCTCATTCAACACAAGGTTTAAGTTATTATCTCTAAAATCCACCTCAAGCTCATTACTTAAGCGTTTTAATACTTTGTGTCCAGCTTCTAAAATCATGAATACCTTTAAGGATTTTGCAACAAGGTTAAAGTCAGCTTCTGTGAATACTGCTAATTCCATCTAATGCTCTCTTCCCTTGTAGAAAATATGCTCTGCAGTAGAAGCCAGTGAACGGTCTGTAGAGAAACTTTTAGCAGAGGTGAGCCAATTAAAAGAAGAAGTAAAGAGGAAAAAGCAACAAAGTTGTTCAGGTAAGTTAAATAAATGCAATGCCAATCTTAGTAAGACTTCCAAAGTGGATTCACTTGGCAGAAGCACAAAACACTTCTGAACTTGATGCAGCCAAAACAGTAGAAGTGTGCAAGAGGGTTGGCAACTCAAGTTTTTTCTTTTTTTTTTTTCCTCCAGGAGAAAACGGAGACTACCCAGGAGAGCCAAAGGAGAATGTTCTCCTTTGTCAGGCACTGCAAACATTTTTCCCCAATTCTGGACTTCAGACGTGCATTGTTTCCTTTAAAGGCCAACAGATAGCCAAGAACTGCTGTACCATTGACCATAATATTAATGTCATGGACAAACTGACTCTCATGGTAGAGGAAAGAGACTTCAGTGAAGCTGAAACGAGACATCTAACCAAGCGTAAAGTCAGAGGGACCACAACGGGATCCAAGTCATTCAAGAAATCAAGATCCCTGCAGCTTCATCAAAAATTACTTCGAGACCAAGAGGACAGTGACCAGGAAAGGAAGCTTATGCTGAGTAGCACCGAAACAGAGGAGGACGTGTTGGAAAAAATTAGAGACACAAACGAATACCCACACTCTCCTACTTTCTGATCTGTTAATGACTTGGCCATAGGACTTTGCACGAAAAGCTACTGCCAGTATATACAAGTGACATAAGAATTTATGGCACTGCAGGGATTAAAAAACAAACAAACAAACAAAAAAACCCAGTGGATTTTTTGCAAGATGCACAGGTTTGGGTTGTTTTTCCCCAATGCATAAATCCTGTTTGGCATTAGAGACAAGTCCAGATGACATTCCTTCACTTTGCCTTGCGGAGTTCAATCTGTATTGGCTCTCTCAGGGTTTCAAGACGACGTTAGCAGTCACAGAACCATGTCACACAGTGCCTCAGAGTAGTACACCTTCCACTACCCTTCCCTCAGCAGAAGCTGAGGCAGGGAGCATCAAATGAAGGCAGGTAACATGCCTAACAGAACTAGCTGTCTACATAACTTGCCACAATTTAAATACTTTCATTTATCATTAGCTGTCTGCTATTTGTTTGGTTTTTTCCCCCCCCTTCCAACCACCTGACCTTCAGCAAGATCTGTGAGCAGAGGAAGTGGTCCATCCAGGTGCCAATTTTTGTTGCTTTCCTATTTCATGCTTCCTTCAGACAGTTTTAGAGACTGGCATCCACCCTTCAGTCGGTGATGCGTCACGCTAGCCAGCCACATTGGCAGTAAAAAAAGGATATAAACATGAAAAGCAGTTGTATTGTTTATTTCTTGATAGAATATCACTCTGGATACTTGACATTACATATCTTGGGGTCTGTGAGAAATGACGGGTTCTTAAACATAACTGGCATAAATCCTGTAAAAAGATAAGATGGAGGGGTTTTTTCTTAATAGGAAAGTAGGCTTGACTTAAAAAACTAAAGGGCATAATCGTACTTACCAAGCACATGAGCTCTTTTAATGGCTTTTGTGATTTCCTTCTGCTTCTTGTTGCACAAGCCTAAAGAGAGGAATAATTTTCAAGTCTCTTAAATCAACAATAACCAAACAATTAGCTTAAAGGGTAAAACTGACAATTCCTTCTAGCTTTGCCTAAGTCTGCCTAGAAAAAAGCACGTATGCTTATTATTCTGTTAAATACAAGAAAAACATATAATTAAGGGCTATATCCATTCCTTGATGAAGGCTACTAAGTCTGAGGAATACTGTTACAAAACAGAGTTGGCAGTAGTTACTTTTGGAAAGGTAAACTGATACACAATTACTTGGACTCACAACAACATGAATACTAACCAGTACATGACTTAATTTAATACTTCACGTACCTGTTATATGCCTGCCATAAATACAGCCAGTATGAGGAGAAACAAACTGGGAAAGAAGCTGTGTAAAAATCAAGAAACCCAAAGTCAGTTTAAGAAATTATTTTCGAGAGCTTTAGCTTATTTTTCTACTTGCATTCTACTTTTCATTTTTTGATCTGTTTTTACAAAACTCAGTTCTACCTGGAGACATGAAAAAGCATAGAGTTAGACAGCATTTTACATGCCATAACAGTGGAATTAGAATTGCAGACTCTTATTTGCTAAATTAATAAGGTTGTAACGCCAGCATACAGGACTAGCAGACTGAACACCTTATAACAACTACATTATTTGATCCTTAACTGCACATAGATTTTAAATTCTAAACCCCTACACACATGAATGCATTTTCATTTTGTTTTTTTGTGGACTTCCCCCCCCAACATTTAAAAAAAGTAAACCACCTGCCTTCATCGGAGGACAGGGATTTTTAAACTCACCTGTACATTCTTGTAGTCCACGTTTATTCCACATAAGACACATTTTTTAGGAGGATCTTTATAGGGATTCTCCATTCGTATGGGCTGAAATTACAGAAATATTAACATCTGTAAGCTTCACAAGAAAGTAAGGAATGTGTGTTATTTTCACCCTTCAGGCAAAGCACGTCTTGAAACCAAAACCAGGTATTTAGGGCATCGTTGAAGTTTTTCAGTAACTTTCTTACCTTTATTTCTCTAACGCACCAATCGGTACCTAGCAACCTAAGAGACTTCTCAGTGACAGGACCTTCTCTCTTACTAATAATGACAATGTAAGTAAGTCAATTAAAGCCATCAATAAGATAGTACTAATGCCCCTTACTTAGAAGGCAGAATCGCCAGAATCTGGTAGTAAAGGAAATGTAAGTGGTAGTAAAGAACGCTAACACCCAGCACCAAATCCTTGCAAGATACAAGCAAAAGCAAGAATTTCATTTTATTTTTTTTTGCAGACATAGTCAGAAATTAGGCAGAAAAAGACTACTTTTTCAAAGTTTTGGCTGGTACTGGACATTTCAGACATAACCACAGTTTATGCATTAAGTCTTCTTCTCAAGAAGATACACCAGAAACTAGACAGTGCTTCCAAAGGTTTTGCTCCACACTCGAGTTCCAGAGGGTGCTGTGAGCACAGTTAAGATACTGAGCCATAAACCAAGGGCCCCTCAGCTTCAACACCCACCCACAGAATGCTATGGGGTTGGAAGGGACCTCTGGAGATCATCCAGTCCAACCCCCTGCCAAAGCAGGGCCACCCAGAGCAGGTCCCACAGGAACGTGTCCAGGCGGGTTTGAATGTCTCCAGAGAAGGAGACTCCACCACCTCCCTGGGCAGCCTCTGCCAGGGCTCTGCCACCCTCACCCCAAAGAAGTTCCTCCTCGTGTTTAGGTGGAACTTCTTATAGTCAAGTTTGTGCCCATTTCCTCTTGTCCTGCCCCTGGGCACCACTGAAAAAAGACCAGCCCCATCCTCCTGACACCCTCCCTTGAAGTATTTCTAAGCCTTGATCAGATCCCCCCTCAGCCTTCTCTTCTCCAGACTAAACAGACCCAAGTCCCTCAGTCTTTCCTCCTAAGGAAGATGCTCCAGGCCCCCCCCCGGTCCCCGCGCCGAGGCCCTGCTCAGCAGCACACCCCCGAACGGACCTCAGGTGCTTTAGAGGCCCGAGCTACACCAAGGGCGCCGCGAAGCGTTTCACGGACACCCCTGCCGCCCGGCCAGGGCCCCTCCCACGGCGGGGGGGGAGGCCCAAGCACAGGCCGCCCTGGAGCTCTCCTCACCTGGTCGGGCCGCCCCTCATACCGCGGGCGGCGCGGCCGCTCCCACAGCGCCGCTGCAAGGGAAAGAGCGACAGGGTTAGCGGGAGGGGAGACCGCCCCACCGGGACAGGGTGGGGAAGCAGAAGGAACGCACCGGGCACCAGCCGCCGCCAGGGCCTCCCCGCCGCCACGGCCCGCGCCGCCACCCCGCCCGCCTCAGCTCCCCGCCGGCCTCAGCGCCCCGCACGCCGATACGCCACTTCCGCCAAACGCCTCCTCTTCACCCTTCGCTGGCCAATGGGACGGCGAGCCGCCCTACTTGAGGCGGGCGATTGGCTGTTGTGGGGCGATGAACCCTCCTACGTCTGTCGCTCGCTGGCGGAAGTGGTGCCGGCGGCCGTTGCTCTGTTCCCCTCATGGCGGGCCCGGCCCTCCCTCACCCTGCCCGGCCGCAGCCTTGACCGTCTCCGCGCCGCCCTCCCGCCTCACGGCGGAGCCTGACATCCCCCCCGCCTCGGGCAGGTGGCGATGGCCGAGCCCACCCTGGTGGTGCGGAGGAAGAGCCGTCCCGCCTCCGTCCGCAAGCGGAGCCGGGCCCTGGTGCAGCCCAGCGCCGTCTGCTCGCCGGTGGCTCGCAAGAGGCTGAGCTCCGGTGGCGAGAGGTCCCCGGCGGAGGCTCCGGTGCGCGGGGGTGGCGGGGCGCGGGGGGGACAGGCCCCTGGGGCTGGCATGGAGCCGGGGGGGGGGCTCCGCCTGGGAGGGGGCCTGGCGCTGCTCAGGCCTTGCTTCGTGTGAGGGGGGTGTATTTTGTTTTAAATTAGCTTTAAAACAAATTTATCCCTTCTAAGTATCTCTGCAGGCATCGCATCTGCTTATAGGTGAAGTATCACTGAGTTTAAAGCGTGCGTTCCGTTAGAAGTCCCAGTCAAGTCCAAGAAGTCCCACCTAGAAGTCAGGCTATGGTTTCACAGAATGCCTTGGCTGTACTAAATTATCCTCCACTACTAGTGTAGAAATGCAATTTAATTTTAAATTTGTAACGTTCTAGCAGTATTTGTTTTGCAAAAGAAACGTTTGCCCAGAGACCCTCTGTTCTGCAAGTATTGCTTGGCTGCCTTACACAGCAACAGCATCAAAGCAGGTTAAGAGAAGCAGATCACACTGGTGATAATTGAGTTCCAGAGAATCTCTCCTGTGATGTTTCTCAGAATCACAGAATGATATGGGGTTGGAAGGGATCTCTGGAGACCATCCAGTCCAACCCCCTGCTAGAGCAGGGCCACCCAGAGCAGGTTGCACAGGAACGTGTCCAAGGTGGGGTTTGAATGTCTCCAGAGAAGGAGACTCCACCACCTCCCTGGGCAGCCTCTGCCAGGGCTCTGCCACCCTCACAGCAAAGAAGTTCCTCCTCATCTTTAGGTGGAACTTCTTATGGTCAAGTTTGCGCCCATTTCCTCTTGTTCTGTTCCTGGGCAATATCAGAGTGATATCAGAAAACTCTTTTTTTATTAACTTGAGGAAGAGTTGTACCTGGTGTGTGTGTGCTCTGTAGGGAGTTACGCTGCCTTCTTGTGTTGGTGTTACTTTGGACTATTGATGCTCACTGTTGTTGTTTTACAGTGCAGTATCGATAGTGAAGAAGATATGTTTGGCGACTTCGACAGCTTTTGTGGAAATGATTCTTTGCTAGCTCACCTTGAGGATATAGAGCACAAATACCAGCAGGATAAAAACACGGACGCTCAAGCGGCTGGAGACATCGTACTTGGGAATCTTGAGTCAGGAATTTGCCAAAAAAAAGAAGATAACTTTTCTACTTCAGAAAATAAGATCGCCCTCAAAGCTGACAAAGAGGATGCTTTCCAAATAAATGCAAATGACCCAGTGGATAGCAAGCAAGAGCTGACAGAATCTGCTTTAGATGATTTGCCATCATCACAACTTTTGTATTTTGGGAAAATGGATGAATTTTCTTCTGGTTCTAGAATATCTCCGGTCTCAGAAAGGAGCAATCAATGTGTGAATTCTTGTTCAGACAAAATCAGGAGTCCCTTGTCTTTTTGTCCTGATACTGACCACAGGAACAGACCTACTGACTTTTCCTCGGACTCTAAGCTTGATTTATTTAAAACTGAGAGTCTTAAAGATCATCTGAAAAGTGCTATGACTGGAAATGCCAAAGCCCAGACTCTGCAGGTCTCTAAGACCAAGCAGCTTAAAGAAGCTGTTTTATCTGAAGAGATTTGTGTTGCTAGGAAAACTATTGAATCTCCTTCTGTTGATATAGGCCCTTTTTATGGATTACCCAGCAAAGTGAAAGATCTGTTCAGACAGCTTCGAGGGATTGAAAAGCTTTATGGTAATGTGACTAGTAGTTCTTAAAAAAAAAAAAAAATTGCAACTGTTGCCTGTTTTACTCATTACGCTATAAAATATTTAAGGTAATATTTAAACAGTCTTGGAAACTGATTGTTTTGTTTTATTAAGTTACTATTTTGTGCTTTTAGATGGGTGGGAAACGTTGATATGGCTTATAGAATACTTTGGAAAGCTTGATCACTGAAGGTGGCCTTTTGGTGGTTTATTGAGGAAAAGCTCTCAAATGCAAAGCCTAAAGCATTTTATATGAAACACAGGCATTT